TTTGTGGCTAAGTGAGATGGTTGTTAAGTGAATCACCATAATTGTTAAGTTAGTAACAGGATTGTTAAGTGAACCTGGCTTTCCCATTGACTTTGCTTGTCAGAAGATTGCAAAAAGGGGTCAAATGATCCCAGGACACTGTAATTGTCATAATTATGAGTTAGTTGCCAAATGTCTGAATTTTGATCACATGATCATCAGAATGCTACAATGGTTGTAAGTGTGAAAAACAGTCATAAGTCACTTTTTTCAGTGATATTGTAAGCTTGAACAGTCTCTACATTAACTGTTGTAAGTTCAGGACTACCCATACATTTATTTGATACCTATTAATGTTTTAAATTTATCACTTGGGGAAGAATGAATGTTATATTCTGAGAATTATTCTGCTAATTAATTTTGATGATCATTGATTAAAGATTGCTTGATTTTAAGAATAAGTATAAATAAATAAAATATGTGTGGGGTTGTTTTAATTATTGAGATTTGTACTGTAAATATATGCAGGTTTAACTGATTCTAAACCAGTCTGAGATTTAATATAATTTGAAGAAATATATAATTGTGTTAACTAAATAAAAAACTTTTAGTGTAAGAATCAAATACGTATTATTTTATTTTATACTTCAAAATAATTGTAGTGTTATGACTATGAGTCTGCCAACCTCAAATCTGGTGATTTAAAGAAATTCAGAAGATTTTACTTTGGTTGTAGACTACAATCTGTGAATATTTGAAATTTTCACTTATTGGAGATAAATTACTATGTAGTGTTATGTGACTTGATTGAATTATTAGGAGTGGTTCTGCTTTTAAATATTTCAAATAAATATATGCATAGATTCAAAAGGAGAAGAAAGATTAATAATTTTTGAGATCCACTATCCCACAGAAAAATACAGAACTTCAGCATTGCTTTATTTTAAAAGTATATTGTTACATATTTCTATTAAATTGTTATATTTAGTTTTTAAGATAAATTCTGTGTGTTTTTATGAGAAAGCTAGACATATACTTGCTATTTTTTTTTAATTCATTAAATACTTTGCTGGGTCTCATTACCTTGAAGCTGACCATTACACTTAATAAAATGTGGATGTTCTTTATATTTGAAGCATTTGTTATATAAAGCATTTATGTAAAACATGTTTATAATAGGGGATACTCTACAGCAGGGGTGTCAAACTCAAGGCCCAGGGGCTGAATCCAGCCCATGGGGTGCTTAGATCTGGCCCGTGAGGCCGCCTTGGAAACAGCAAATGATCTGCCTGCAGTGCCTCTGCCAGCGAAAAAAGAGCTCTGTTTGTAGGAGCTCGGTTGCAGGAGGCCATTGCAGCTGAAACGGAGCTTGGGAGCCCGTTTTCGCTGGCAGAGCTCTTGGGCCATCATAGGCATCCCCGACATGAGTGATGTCGAGCTGGCCATGCCCCCCTTGACCATGCCCCCCCAGGTCAAACACAACCTCATTGAGTTTGACACCCCTGCTTTACAGTATATCCTAAAGAAATGTCTTCCTTGCTTCCTTTTTGGTGCCTTTTCCCTCCCTGTTTTATAAGGAGATGAACTTTTTCCAAAGGAGTAAATACTAAAACATTAGTTATGAGTTGGTATAATATGAATGTACTGGTGGTGGTGACGGTAGAATGAGGGGAGGCACTATAAAACAGACACTATAATTCTATTTGCAAATATTTGAGTATATCAGTTGGGAGATAAGTTTTGAATTGAGTTGCCTTGACATTACTTGATTAATTCAGCAACTGTTCATATACACCTAATTTATATAACTTTACCTTTTTGTTAAAAATAATAGATCAGAGCTATCAAGCATACTGTAAGCAATTATTTTCCTAAAGTATTATATCTCAGTAATATTCTCTTTCTGATTTGAGCAACTGTTTGTGAAACTGTGAAATGTAACTTACTCATTATTTAAATCTCTCCTTTGGGAAAAATTACTGGTGGCTTTAATTGCAGGCATTGTTTAAATGCAAATTGGAGTATGGAATTAAAATTTGGGGAGAAGCAGGCTCCGACTCAACCCTTCTAAGACCAAGTGGCTGTGGCTGCTGGCGTCCCGATATAGCCAGCTGATACCATCGCTGACTATTGGGGGCGAGTCATTGGCCCCCACGGAGAGGGCTCGCAACTTGGGTGTCTTCCTGGACACGTGGCTGTCTTTAGAAGAGCATATGACGGTCGTGGCCAGGGGAGCTTTCTATCAGGTTCACCTGATTCGCCAGTTTCGACCCTTTCTAGATCGGGACTCCTTACGCACAATCACTCATGCCCTCATCACTTCCCGTCTGGACTACTGTAATGCTCTCTACATGGGGCTCCCCTTGAGGTGCACGTGGAGGCTCCAACTGGTCCAGAATGCAGCTGCGTGGGTGATATTGGGAGCGACATGGCGCTCACATGTAACACCTCTCCTACGCGAGCTGCACTGGCTCCCGGTGGTCTTCCGAGTGCGCTTCAAGGTATTGGTTCTTACCTTTAAAGTGCTCCATGGCTTAGGACCTGGGTACTTATGAGACCACCTTCTGCAACCAATAACCTCCCACCAACCAGCCCGCTCCCACAGGGTGGGCCTCCTCAGGGTGCCATCACTAAAGCAATGTCGACTGGTGGTTCCCAGGGAAAGAGCCTTTTCTGTGGGGGTACCTACCCTTTAGAACAGGTTACCCCCAGGGATACGAATGATCCCAGATCTTCATACTTTCCGTCGTGCACTTAAGACCTTTCTGTTTCACCAAGCTGGGCTGGCATAAATCTCTTCTAATTTTTCTAAATCTTTATGTTGAAAATTCTTAACCGATGAACCAAATTGGCTTAATCATCTTATATTCACATTTTATATGTATATTATTTTAACTGTTCACCGCCCTGAGTCCTTCGGGAGAAGGGCGGTATAGAAATTAATTAATTAATTAAATAATTAAATAATTAAATAAATAAATAAATAAATAAATAAATAAATAAATAAAATTTAATGTTATGGGCATAGGTGGTAATGCTAAAACATTTGACTCAAATTCTGAGGATAACTTCTACATTTTTATTAACTCAGGGGAAACACCCTATGAAAAATATTCTTGATTCAATTTTAACATTGTGCTTTTTATTAGCCTTTTTGTGAATAGACAGGTACTGACTAATAGCCATTTTGTGAAAGCACCCACAATATTTCCTCAAAACAACCCATTCTCAAAACATCCTTTCCTATTCTATCTTGTATACCTCTTTTCTGTTTTCTGTTTGCCTTTCAGTTCTTCCATTGAGGACTTCTAGTCATCTTCTTTCTTCACTTTTTTATAGTTCCAGATCAATAAACACAGATATACAATGTAGAAAAATCAAACCTGGAACAATGTATAATGAAAAGAAGGTGCCAAATGACTTCTTCAAGCCATAGATATTACTAGAAATTTAGCAACTTATTAATTGTTGGCCAAGTTAAGCTTGCAGAAGGAAGACTCTTGATCAGAAAGAAAACTACAATTTCTGACAATAGGGTTATGAGTGCCAGCTATGTTTCATTTTAAAGTGTCAGTTTGCTGTACAGGTAACAGAAAAACAAGAAGCATTTAAATTGATTGTTTTGAAGATGAATTTCTCCAGCTTGGAAAGCACTTTACATAATTAAATATGCATAATAAATAACATACTTGAATATGATGAAATGGATCTAGCAAGTTGATTTTCATAATATGATTTATTATTATGTGTTTGATTCATCTTAAATTATTCACAATATTATTTAGGCAATATTGTATAATCTGTTTATTAATCCTTACTTATCACATACTTTCATTTGAACCTACTTGATTATTCAGAACTCTTTTGAAATAGACTTGTGAGAATTAGTTCTAGGACGATCAGAAGTGAGCAACCCAACCTGTTATCATAAAAAGTGGAAGGCATCTCTCCTACCCAAAAGAGAAAAGTTTGGCAGTGCACAAGTGAGAGAAAAGGGCACAACAGTTTGAGCCTTGATTTCAGTATAATTAGGGGTTACATTATTGGTTTTTGTTATTTCTATTTGTTTTATAATTTTGTATAAAATATTTATACCTGCCCTTTAAAGTGAGATTATTCAATTTATTACAGAAAAATAAACAGTGAGATGGCTACTACTTCAGATGTATTTAAGAAAGTTTATTTATTTAAAACATTTCTACGGCTGCCCATCTTATACCAAACTCTGGGCGATTCCCAATCAAAAAAGTTTAGGAAGAGTTCATCGCACCTAAATGTGATCTCCATCTTCTGAGTCAATATACTTCTAAATACTATTTGCTTCAGTATCAGGTAGTGATGGGATATTAGAGTAGAACCAAGAATTCAAGATTAACTCACTGAGGAAATCTAACCTACCTCACAGGGTTTATTCTGGGTAAACCAGAGGAGAGAAACTAAGTACGCCACTTTTAGCACATGAAGAACAGATGGGATATAAGCTTTACAAATATATGTCCTATTTCTGATTTTCTTAAATGTACAGGTAGTCCTCAACTTACAACAGTTCATTTAGTGACTGTTCGAAGTTACAACAGCACTGAAAAAGCTGACTTATGACTATTTTTCACACTTATGACCATTGTGGCATCCCCATGGTCATGTGATCAAAATTCAGATGCTTAGCAACTGACTCATATTTATGATGGTTGCAGTTTCCTGGGTTTACATGATCACCTTTTATGACCTTCTGACAAGCAAAGTCAATGAGGAAGCCAGATTCACTTAACAACCTTGTTACTGACTTGACAACTGCAGTGATTCACTTAACAAGTGAATATGTGGCAAGAAAGGTCGTAAAATGGAGCAAAACTCACTTAACAAATGTTTCACTTAGCAACAGAAATTTTGGGCTCGAGTATAGTTGTAAGTAAAGGACTACCTGTACTTGGTAATAGAACTTGCAACAAGATACATTATTGTACTGATTCAGAAACTTTTCTTAGTTTCTAATTTAGATTCAATACTTTTTCTTTCTCCAGGTTTGATGATCCCCGTCTTTTGTGTCGTGGAACAACTGGACACTTCTCTTGAATATGATAATCGAGAAGAACATGCAGAGTTTGTTCTGGTTCGTAAAGATGTGCTTTTTAGTCAGCTAGTGGAGACTGCGCTCCTGGCTCTTGGTTATTCTCACAGCTCTGCAGCTCAGGCACAAGGTATTACATTGAAATGTTTAACAATTGTAGCGAGATTGGCGGCAAACAAATTTAATAATAATAATAAAAAAAACTGGTACTGGTACTTTCATAGTACCTAAACATGCACTAACGCAGATAGGGTATGTCAAGTGAAAGCTTTGCAAGTTGACAGGGTAGTTGGTAGTAAATATGCTTATAATGGCCTAGGGGTAATCATTGAGGAATCCTGTACAAACTGCACTCCGATGCAAATTATTTCTAGGCTTGCCCCTATTAATATACTAGAAGTTACTTTTGAGTACTGTACATATATATAAAATCAAAGTGCACATCATGAATAACTAATTTTATATGTGTATTAGTATTTAATCAAAGAATATCAGACATCGTACCAACATTTATTCTGCTAGTAAATATATTAACAGATGTTCATGATGAATATGAAACAGCCGATGCAACAGTATTTATTTATTCTTCAAGTAGCATGTAAACACACTATCTTTTATAACTGTATTGTTACAAATGGAATCAGAATCAAGTTAAATTATCTCATTTGATTTAGAGGATTTCATACCAGTTCTAATGAACTGTTAAAAGAAAATATTTTTTAAATCTGACTTTGTAATATGCTGTCCAAAACTGATGTAAATTGTGGCATGGATGTTTACAACCTTCTGAGTTATCTAAATTCACTTTTTCTTTAAAATATATGCATTTTTTTCTAGAAACCATTCAGTGTCCTCACTGAATTTGAAGATTTTTCTTGCATTATTAGATAAATCTTCAAGATACAGGAAAGATTAACAGCCAATTAAAGAAATGATAATTGATTAATTACCTTTCATTTTAATTAGCTGATTTGATTATTGATTAAAAGTCACTTTTAAATACTGATTTGAAAGGGACTCCTTTCTGAATAAATATGTTAGAATTACTCTGTAAATTCGTATAAATTAACCTCAGTAAAAATAATAGATAAAAGCAGATGTTTGCAGTTGTTACATGATATATATGTGTAGTACCAAAGAATTGCTTAAGATCAATGAGAGAAGAGATAAAATTTCCTTACCCTAAGTTTACTTGCTATTAAAACAATACATTTTTAAAAAAGTCTGTCAAGCATTAAATATATATATATATAAAATATAAAATATATAATATATAATATAATATATAAAATAAAAAGTCACCTTTTTAGTTGAGCCTAAAATATTTTTTTACTTAGTTAACGTAAACTCACATACATATATATGCAAGCAAATGTATAAGCAAAGTTTAGACAATCTATATACAAAAGCACTAGTCTGCAGTGCATATCTCATTCCCCTCCTCCTGCATATACAAGTCTGCAGGAGGAGGGGAATGAGGAAGAGATGATATGTGCATCATGATACAAACCCTGTGACTTATATACTTGGGTCAGATATTGGGATACAAATACTTTGATTTGATTTGATTTTGATTTTATTGAACTTCTATAGGGCCCTTCTCCCAAAGGACTCAGGGCAGTGTACAGCCATATTAAAACACATATAAACTCACAAAATTTAAAAACAATTTAAAACGAATATATAAAAATTTGGCCCATAAAGTTAAAAGCTAACAAATACCCAATTTAAAATTCATATTAAGCCAGCCCGGCCTGTTGGAACAAAAGAGTCTTAAGGGCGCGGCGAAAGGTACGCAGGTCGGGGATCATACGAACCTCTAGGGCCGTGATGGCGAACCTATGGCACGCGTGCCACAGGTGGCACGCGGAGCCATATTAGTGGGCCACGCCAGGTCAGCTCTAGGGGGCATGTGCGCGCCGGCCAGCTGATTTTCGGGCCTTCTGGGCCCACTAGAAGTAGGGAAACAGGCTGTTCCCTGCCTCTGGAGAGCCTGGGGGGTGGGGAAGGCCCGTTTTTCTTTCTTACCTGGCTCCAGATCCTCTCTGTGTATCTGGGAACGGCGAAAACAGCCTTTCCCACTCCCTTGGAGGCCCTATGGAGGCTCAAAGGGCCCATTTCCCCACTCCCGGTGGGACAGGAAGTGATGTTTTTTCCTGTCCCCAGCCTCCAGAGACTCCTAGAGAGTCTCCTAGAGACTCCTAGAGAGGCTCCTAGAGACTCCTAGAGAGGTTCTGGAGGCTGGGGACAGCAAAAAATGTCACTTCCTGTCCCACTGGGAGTTGGGAAATGGGCCTTTTCAGCCTCTGTAGGGCCTCCAAGGGAGTGGGAAAGGCTGTTTTTGCCGTTCCCAGATACACAGAGAGGATCTGGAACCAGGTAAGAAAGAAAAACGGGCCTACCAGGCCATCATGTGCCAGGAGCGGGGGGGGAGGGGGGAGGGGGTTGTGCACACATGCGCGTGGGCACGTGCGCGTGTGACCCTCCCCCGCCTCCCTCTCCTGGCACGCGATGGCAAAAAGGTTAGCCATCACTGCTCTAGGGGCAGCTCATTCGAGAGGGCTGGTGCCCCCACAGAGAAGGCTCTCCCCCTGGGTGTCGCCAGTTGACATTGTTTGGCCGGAGCCCCTCTCTGTGGGAGTGTATTGGCCGGTGGGAGGCTATCGGTGGCAGAAGGCGATCTCGTATAGACCCAGGTCCTAAGCTATGGAGTGCTTTAAAGGTGGTGACCAACTCCTTGAATTGCACCCGGAAGACCACCGGGAGCCAGTGCAGCTCACGCAAGAAAGGTGTTACATGGGTGCGCCTTGTCGCCCCCATAATCACCTGCGTGGCCGCATTCTGGACCAGTTGGAGCCTCCGAGTGCTCTTCAAGGGGAGCCCCATGTAGAGAGCGTTACAGTAGTCCAGACAGGACATGACGAGGGCATGAGTGACCGTGCGCAAGGCATCCTGGTCCAGAAAGGGATGCAACTGGCGTATCAGGTGAACCTGATAAAAAGCTCCCTTGGCCACAGCCGTCATATGATCTTCCAAAGACAGCCGTGCATCCAGGAGAACACCCAAGTTGCGAGCCCTTTCTGAGGGGGCCAAGATCTCGCCCCCAATAGTCAGCGATGGAACCAGCTGACTATATGGGACGCCGGGAACCACAGCCACTCGGTCTTGGAAGAGTTGAGTCTGAGCTTGTTTCTCCCCATCCAGATCCGCACGGCTGCCAGGCACCGGGACATCACGTCAAGGGCATCATTGGGGTGGTCCAGGGTGGAGATGTACAGCTGGGTGTCGTCAGTATACTGGTGGAACTTCACCCCAAAACCACGGATGATCTCACCTAGCGGCTTCACATAAATGTTGAACAGAAGGGGCAAGAGGACTGATCCCTGTGGCACCCCACAAATAAGGCACCTCAAGGTCGACCTCTGTCCCCCTGCCAACACAAACTGCGTACGGTCGGAGAGGAAGGAGGAGAACCACCGCAACATGGTGTCCCCCACTCCCAACCCCTCCAGTCGTTGCAACATGATACCATGGTTGAGAGGTCTGCTGAGAGGTCTAATAGGACCAGGACAGAGGAACAACCCCTGTCCCGAGCCCTCTAGAGATCATCAACCAATGCGACCAATGCCGTTTCCGTGCTGTATTCTGGCCTGAAGCCCGACTGGAATGGATCTAGATAGACAGCTTCATCCAGGTACTGGGGAAGTTGTTGTGCCACCACACTCTCAACAACCTTCGCAACAAAGCGAAGGTTGGAGACTGGATGATAGTTCGCTAATACAGCCAGGTCCAGGGAAGACTTCTTGAGGAGGGGCTTCACCACCGCCTCTTTCAGAGAGGGAGGGAAGAAACCCTCACTCAAAGAAGCATTAATAATCCCCTGGAGCCAGCCTCGTGTAACTGCCCGGGAGGCCAGCACTAACCAGGAAGGACACGGGTCCAATAAGCATGTGGCAGTGCTAAGCCTACCCAGAATCCTGTCCATGTCCTCGGGAGTCACAAGGTCAAACCCCTCCCAGATAACATTCTCAAGACCCACCTCCGTCACCCCATCTGAATCTACCCAATCTGAGTCCAGGCCTTCCCGAATCTGAGTGACTTTGCCATGCAGGAATTGCACAAAATCCTCAGCCCTGCCCTGCAAGGGGTCTTCCCTCGCTCCCAGATGAAGGAGGGAGTGGGTCACCCTAAACAGGGCTGCTGGGCGGTTCTCTGCAGACGCAATAAGAGCGGAAAAATAATTAGATTTTGCCGCTTTTATCGCCACTAGGTAGATCTTAATATGAGACCTCACCAGTGTTCGGTCAGATTCGGAGCGGCTGGCCCTCCAGTCGCTCTCCAGGCGTCTTTTCCGGCGCTTCATCTCTCTCAGCTCCTTGGAAAACCAGGGAGCCAATTGGGATCGGCACTGGGTCAGAGGCCACAAAGGCACGACGCGGTCCAAAGCTCCAGCGGCTGCTGTATCCCAGGCGGCCGCCAGTTCTTCAGTCGAGCAGTGAGCGGGGTTTGTATCATGACATTCAAAAATATAATTTAGTAACTTTTTCAACATAGTGACTGATGGGGGACACTCATCCATAAAATATAAAAGAGCTTTAAAAAACATGATTTTTTGGTAGAAGAGAATGAAACTGTAACAAATAAAAATGTAGCCTTAGGAAAACTGTGTATGCACATCATCTGTCATTTTGTTAATAATGTACAAAAAAGATAATGTATATTGTATTTTATGTAAACATTAGTATAAATAAGAAAGTGAAAGAAAACATGAGCTATTAGTAAGCTAGGCCATGAAAATACGTTTTACTTAACAGTGTATTTGTGAAAGAATTCTAATCAGAAAGAATGTAATAAGAAATAAAAACATGAAACAAATATATCTTTATTATTGCATAAATCTGGATATTTTTTTTTTTAAATCATGTCATGATGTTATAGGGATATTGTTCTTTTGAATATAAAAGTCATTGTATCTCACTATTTCTGTCATGGTGAACCAGTTTTCAATCTGACAGCACTATTCATCTTGGTTAATTCATCTTGTGAATTAACATGTGGAACATCCTGAATTAAGCAACCAAGGCATCATTCTTGGCATCTCTAGAAAGAAGGTGATCTCAAGAAAGAATG